GGGGGCTCCGGGACCTCCTTGGAGCTCGGCTTGGCACAAATCATCGGAACCGTCCGGGACATAACCTGACACACACACACACATACACACTTTCAGTCTCTGGTGCCGGCATGGAGCGGAGCAGCAATAACGTCAGCAGCTGCAATGTCCTGGGCTCCTAGTTTGGCGCAGACATCCGCCCAAAAATTGCCCATGGGCCTCCAGATGCCACCAGCTTTGGCACCGCTCTCGATTAGCCCCTCAAGCGTCCGATGCTCGAGAGTCCAGCAGAACGTGGGCCGTATGTCCTAGTCCTGACATGCACGATCATTGTGCCAATCCGACGCATGCGAGGCGAAGCCGACCTCCGATTTGGGGTCCCAGCTCTGCCCTTCATGGACAAAGGACAGTTATCGCTAATGATGACAGGCTGCTCGCGTCATGCGGACCCCAGAATTACCACTTGGAGGCCAGCCCATCTCTCACTCCGCGGAGCAGTCTGAAACCTTTTCGAGAGACCCCCGAACTTAAAAGGCCAGCCGTCCAATGAAGTCGGCCACGCTCCAGCCACATGGAGTGGCCAGGCCAGAGCCGTTGGTGAATCGGTACTGGCCCCACGGGCCATCTGCAAGCCCCAGGGTGAACACGGGCGGCCGAGCTGGGTGGGGGGGGGGCATTTGAACGGGAAGGGAGGGGAGACCGTACAAGAGAGGGACCAGATCCGAATCAGGCCCCCGGGGAGGAGGAGGAGGAGGAGGAGGAGGAGGAGGAGGATTTCCAGCACCACTTCGAGATGAACATTCGGGAATGCAATTTGGTAGTATTATCAATCGACGTGCAGATAGACCCCGACAAAGGAGACCTGACGAAGCCAGACGTCGTCGAGTTTTGGTGCGCGGCGATACGACAGGGCAAAATTCTCGGCATTGTAGCTGGCCCCCCCTGCGAGACGTGGTGCTCATCGCGCTGGCATGCCGCCGAGGGAAAAGCTCCACGCCCACTACGTACACTACGTGCACACGATTTCCCCTGGGGCATACAAGCAGCCAATCAAGCGGAGCTTCAACAGATAGCACTAGCCAACGAGCTATACAGGACAGCTCTACTACTCATCACCACTGGCTTGCAGTACAATGTATCCGCTGTACTCGAGCATCCTGCTCCAGCTACTTGGTGTCCTCAAGCGCCGAGCAGCTGGCAGCGAGCGGAGACGCTTTGGCTGTTGGAACAGACGAACGTCGAACTGCACTACATCGACCAGTGCCAGTTTGGGCAGGCCGCGCGAAAGCCAACATGTCTGATGGCGGTGCACCTCAGTGAACTCACACAAGAGCTTGGGGCAGTACCTGGGGGACAGCTATGCCGACATAACGGACACGGCAGAGCTTGCGGGCGAGACGGCCAGGGCGGCTGGAGGACCGCCCCCCCTCAAAGAATATCCTTCAAAGTTGTGCAAGGCAATGGCAACGGCATTCGCAGCCCATTGGGGGCAGCTCGCTGACGAAGAGGCATTGTGGGCCGAAACGGATGAATGCTATCACAGGTTTTATGCCCCCCTGGACTATTACGTCGAGCCAGAGCAGCTGGGCCACGACTGTCACAGGACATGGGGTATCCAACGGCGCTAGCAACTGATGCTGCAGCGCGCGGCACTACGACTGCCTGCACAAATATTTGGGATAAATTGTTGTCAGTATTATGTCATAGTTGCCAATCCACGGGAGGGACCATCAGATTGCAGATTGGTGCACAGATTATTGGCAGCTTACAGATTGGATGGCAGTTTATATGACAGAATGGTGCACAGTTCGGTAATATTACAGAGTGGCAGCAGGCGAGGGAGGGTCAGTGCACCTATTGTATGTACTCAAACTGGGAGTGACCTGCGAGGTTATTTGTCTATCAGCACGGCTTCGTCACGGACTGCGATTGCGTGCCATTCTCGAGGGGGGGGGACCCGTAGCGCCCATACGGGTGGGCACGATCCCTCAATGGCGACGGAGCGTGCCCCCCCTCGAGTATTTTTACTAGATTTTATTGGCTTTCTTTCAACTCTGGCATCCGCTTTCTATGAGTATCTAGCGCCCTGGGTAAGGGCAGCATGGCGCCCAGGTCCCACCGTATATGTTGACATCCCTGGTCATCTCTTGGCAGGCGGGCAGCAAGACCGTCGAGAGTACCTCGGACCCGCGCAACCATCGCAAGCAGGTCAAGCAGTATCAGCGAGCAGCATGTGGGAGCCGAGCATCCCAGTCCAGTGCAGCGTGGAGTCAAGCACCATCATGTCGACCAGTACGTTTGGGCCAAGCACATCATGTGGTGGTGCTACTGAGACAAGTATGACTACGGGCCCTATGCTGCACTATTTCGAACACCATAGGCATGGGCACGGTCACTGTGGATACGGCAGTACATTCGTGGCAAAGAGCTTCCTCGGCGACAAGCACTACGGCGTCACGGCTTAAGTCCTGAGGAAGCCCCGATTGCGTGGGAAGACCTCAGGCAGCGTCGCCAAGTTTTGCTTGGGTTAGGACGCAAGTCCTGGGGAAGCCCCGAATGCGAGGGAACACCCCAGGCACAGGTCGCTACGTTTTGCTGTGGGTATCCTGGCGGTGACTGGTTACATACAACTCGGAGGACACCAGCTGGCTGGAAGCGGGCGATCCACACGACGCCGTCGCACTACTGACCGACACCGACATCATACCCAGCACGGCCCCGCACACCTTTTGTCAAGTCAACGCTGCCCTGGTGAGGCATGGATCAAACTTCGAGACGGGCTCGAAGGGTGGGGGGGAAGGACGAGTACTTCCCGCGCCCACCAGGGGGGATGGTGAGGGGCAGGGGGGGGGGGGGTAGGACGGCCACTACCTGCGCCCCCGCGGTCCGCCCTAGCTCGCCACCCCCACCATTCCCATGGAGAAGGAGGAGCTACCCGAGCGCCCGAGGGCGAAGCACAGGACAGCCGAGACATCCCACTCCGACAAATAAGTGCCAGGCCTGGGGTTCGCCCCCACCGAGGGCACTGTGACCCCTAGCCATAGCGGGGCGAGGTGGGACAGCCAAGACCCCCACTTGAAGTCGGTGCATGGAGGCCATGGGCGCCCACGACCATCAACACAACACCAGCGGCGAGCCGACTCCCCAACGACCCAACCAGCACGCTCCACAACCCACACTCAGCCAACAAACAAACGACCGCCACACCACAACCACTCCTCTACATCGGCGCCTACCTGTACTGCAGCGTCGGGGGCGACATGATTGAGGGCATTGGATACTACAGCTGGTCGAGTACCATGATGACCAGCATGATTGGGCATGGCATACGCAGGAGTACCACCTCGACCAGCACGACTGGGACGAGGGATACAAGTTCGAACGCTACAGAGTCAAGCAGTACTGCAGGCTCGAGCACATCAGAGACCACTCGAAGAGAAGAGGCAGCTTGCCCCTCGGCGTGGGATACACAGCGCGAGGCGCCGAAGGGTGCATCCCCGCCGCCCTCGCGTGGCATGCGAGGGGCCGAGGCCAGCTGGCCCTGATCGGCACGATGAGGAGAGAGCAGCCGCCAGTGCAGGCCTGCTGGAGCCCACGAGCGGCTCGGCGAGCCTCCACAGCGCGCTGCGCCGAAGGGTGGAGGCCGCCACTGCTGGGGGCAGCCAGCCACCCGAAGCCGCCCCCACGACGGCTGGGCTCAGCGCGCTGCGCCGAAGGGGGCCCAGCCGCCACCGTGCGGCCGCCGGCCCACGAAGAGGCCGTCGGCCTGGCCGTGCGCCGTGCCGCGCTGCCTGACGCCCGCGGGCGCGGGCGCGCGCGGCGCCCGCCCATGGGCCCTGACGGGCCCCTCTTTTTTCTGAAACCCGGCCCCCTCCTCCCTCCTCTGAGGTTTAAATCCTGGTCCCTGGTCCTCCCTGCTCTCCTCGGGGTCGGGTTCCCGGGGCCGCTGTTCGAGTGCCCGCGCGGCCCTTGTGGGCCGCTGCGGCGCGCTCCGCGCCCGCGGGGCGCGCGACAAGACGCTGTGTAGCGAGAAACGTCAGAAACGTCAGGGGGAGGAGGAGGAGGAGGAGGAGGAGGAGGAGGAGGAGGCCGAGGGGCGGAGGAGTGAAGGACGAGGGAGGGTAGGGAGAGGGAGAGGGGGGGGGGGAGCGGAGGGCGGAGGCGAAGGGAGGGGCAGTGAGATTGAGGGAGGAGGCGGCGGGCCCCCCGTTTCATCCCATAAGGCGGCGCCTGTGAGCCGATGCGTCAGCGGGAACTCCTAGACCCAACAGTCAACCCGCATAATAAGCATAGGCATCCCTCCCAAGGGTACCCTTGCATCCTTGCCTTTTCGGTCCATCCTTCGCCACTGTCGTCTGCCGCGCCCCGCTCGAAAAACATCGAAGTGGGCGTCCAAGGCTCTTGTATCCTTATCGCGCATCCTTACTATCCGGGTTGACTGTAGACCGCTACTGTCCTCAGGGGAACGAAGAACGACATGCACATAAAAGTATCGGAGGTCCGCGCGGACTTTTCGGATCCGCGCTGGACCCCCCTTCCCTGGCGCGCGGAGCGCGCCAGGGGCGGCGCCGGAGGCGCCGCTAGGGGGCTACGCGCGGATCCGAGAAATCCGCGCGGATCTCAGAGTTTTGATGTTTGTGTCATGTTTCGTTATCCTAGTTTCCTACCTTGAGGCCCTCCAGCCCACAGCGCCCCGAGAGAACCCTGACGAACACCTGCTGGGAGGGCCAAAGAGGCGGAAAACGGGAGGAGGAGGAGGAGGAGGAGGAGGAGGAGGAGGAGGAGGAGGCGTAGGAGGAGAAGGAGGACGCAGAGGAGGAGGAGAGGAGGAGGAGGGAGGAGGAGGAGGAGGAGGAAGAGGAATGGAATAGGAGGAGGAGAACGAGGATGAGGAGGAGGAGGAGGAGGAGGCGGAGATGCTGGCGCCCGCGGCGAAATGCTCTCGCCCCCTCGGCCTCGCCCCCCGAGGAGCGCGGCGCGGGCGCGCGGAGGGGCGGTGCCTTGATGGGCACCGCGGCCGCATGCGGGCGGACGAGGCCCGCGGGGGCGGCGGGCGGGGTCGGCTGGTCTGGGGGAGGCTCGTCTAGGCTCAGAGGATGATGGGCCTGTTTTCCACCATCACCACCATCAATTGGAGGGGGGACAGGGGGTGGAGGACGAGGATGATGAGGAGGAGGAGGAGGAGGACCAAGAGGAGGAGGAGGAGCAGGAGGAGAAGAGGAGGACGGGAGGCTCGTCTAGGCTCAGAGGAGGAAGAGGTGCCTTCTATCGGGGATACTCTGGGGGAGGCTCCTCCGCCTCCTCTGCTGCCTCCGCCTCCTCCGCCTCCGCCTCCTCTATTCCTGCCTCCTCCGCCTCCTCCTCCCTTAAGACTGCATGAGACTAAAACTAGCCGATCGGCAGGGGGGGGCATATAGCGCTTCCGCTAGACTTCTTCGTCGCCACAGCTGGATTCGCCCCCAGGTTTTGGTCAGAACGCACCCTCGGAGAGGTCCGGGGTGAACCCGTTCCGATACTTTCTTATCCCCTGCGCATGGCTGGGGCAATGCGATACCCCAGATTTCATGGCCCTCTCTTCCTCTCTCAGCACATCCAGTGGGCTACCCTCGTCCGCGCACATGTCTCGAGCTACTTCCCTCGTGGGCGCCCATGGTCTAGGTCACCCCCGGGGGCGCGCAGACAATCGCGCTGCGCGCGTCGCGGTCTGGATCAGAGAGTTGCCCCTCTACAGATGGGTCTCGCAAGGGCGCGACGATATCCGCGCGTCGCTCATCGCGTGGCGCGATGCGCGAAGGGTGAGGGATGAGGGATGATGGTGGTACCCTTGAAGATCGCCCTTGAAGAGGGCTTAGTATTTGTGCGCGTTATTCTTGCACTGACGTTGTCCGAAGTGGCAGCATCATTTTCAAATATGAGTTAAAGAGTGACGGCACTTAACCATATTTTGTCGACGTAGAATTGGCAGTCATTGGGGATTTCAAGCAATTCTAAAGGACGGGTGAATGTGAGGATTTTTGTGGTGTTGCTGCTGATGCTAACGATGGCGACGATGACGATGATGGTGGGATGATGACGATGATGTGCGATATGCTGATTATGACGATGCGGGTGTCGGTAATGACGATGACGGCGATTGTGGAACATATGTCGATGATGAGGATGATGATAACCGTACTAATGGTGATGATGGTACCGATGATAACGATGATGAGGATGATGAGTCGTTTTACTAGCGTGATGAGGGTTATTTCGAAGGCATCATCGATTCGGATAACGATGATGGTTGCGAAGGTGGTGGTGGTGGTGGTGGTGGAGAGGCTGATACCGATGATGATGATGATGATGATGATGATGATGATGATGATGATGATGATGATGATGATGATGATGATGATGATGATGATGATGATGATGATGATGATGATGATGATGATGATGATGATGATGATGATGATGATGATGATGCCGTTCTGGCTGGTGACGATGCTTGTGCTGCCGATGCCAGCGGCTGTGGTGGTGATGATGGTGATGCTGTTTTTGCCAGGAGGGGTATTGCCCTCTCCGGCTTTGCGTTCAGACGTACGTGCACCAGTTATTTTCTCTCCTCTCGCTCCCTTTCTCATTCATGCTCCCTTCTTCTCATCCCCATCCTTTGGGATGCAACTCCTGGGACCCAGGCGAGTAGAGGGTCGTCCTGAGAGGCTTTTCGGCGTCTTGGGTGCCTCGGTGGGGCCTCTTTGGGCCGCTTGGGATCCTCTTGAGGGCCTCCTGGGGGCCTCTTGGGGCCTCTTGGGGCCATCTTGGGGCCTCCTGGGGCCTCCTTGGAGGACATCGATCAAAGAAGAGGGGAGCTTCAATTAGGGTTGCCCCCCTGGGAGGCCAAAATGGGGCCAAAACATCAATGATTTTGGCTTCCTCGCCGAGGCCGTTTTGGACGCTCTGACCGCTCGCG